GATTAGGATAAGCCTGGTTTTGACATGATACTAAAACACTAGAAACACCTTCATAGGAGAGTCCAATACTTTCTTTAGATCTACATATTTACTCACACTATGTGCCAAAACAACTTAATTCTTAACTCCTGAAAGTTACAGTGCATCAGAGTAAAAATACAGATCAAAGAGTTAAAAATAGTTAAAACCTACAAAGACTACGGGAACCTTCAGTCCGACGACAGTAACAATAAAAGGTTCCCTAAAATAACCATAGCTATGGAATGGTTCCAAGGGCAAAAAACTCCCGCAATGCATTAAAATGTCGGAATCATGCATGACTTTTCAGCTGGAATTAGCTTTTTACCTCTGTAATTTCAACATATGCTTGTAAAGCCATAAAGTCAGCAGAGGCATCTGACACAGACATAAACGCAGACGTCTAACTAGCTAACAAGTCGACGATACCTGTAGCTTTTTTAATTTTTCTCATTCACATGGTTTCTGTCACTCTTCATCAAAGTAAATTTTACCAAAATCTCCACATAATCTTGTCTCCATGTCGATAACTATTTTTCTGTTTCTTCAATTTCTTTCTCACCAACAGGTATAGACCCTGTTCAGAAAATGCTTCTTTTTCTATCTAAATGTTTGCTATGTTCCTTAACGAAAAGTCAAATTCGTTCAAAGATATCAGTCCGACAAGTCACCTTTGATATTGTTGTCAATCCTATTAATCAGCAATATTTCCATTCAAACATGTTTGAACTATGTGTAATCAATTATGATATATATTAACCAACATCAATTCAACTGAAAGGTCACGGATAGGTAAAATCAAAGTTAATAAAAGTTCTGGACAACAGTACCTGTTATTTGTATGATGGTAAAATGGTGAATTCAAAAATAAATCATGTAGCCTGACCTCTATATATGGCAAGCATCTAACATTTTGAGGGTCAAAAGCCATTTTAGGAGGTCATTATACCCCCAAATAGAAGTTAACTGAAACTCTCATTGATGATATTAGTTTTTGGTCACCATATCCTGGTCTTGCACCAATAGCTTTCTACCAAACAATAATTATATTTCCATTGCACCAATAGCTTTCTACCAAACAATAATTGTATTTCCATAGATATTGTATCTGTTCTTATTCTCATCATAAATGTACAAGTTTTATTACTGACAGACACTGGTCAATATTTATTGTCTAGGTATCACAAATATTAACCAGACTGGGTACGTTATCAGTAAACTGTAAAACCTAATCTATATTTTATGCTGAGCTGATCTCTAACACTAATTACAAAACCATGAACAAAATTGAAAAACACCTTTGACATTTTTATTAGTTATTGGGTTACACCTGTATTGTAAACAGGACTGGAGAAACTTATCTCCCCAAGCCATTGTAAGTCCACACACCATAAACACCCTAGGACAAAACCAACAGTCTGTTGTTGATCATAAATCAGTGTAATCAGGCCCCATTAAGTTTTCTGTTACAGGACCTGTCCTCCCTAAATGTCACTAGATGGATAGACTTAGTCAAGGGATGGTCCAGCCAACATGAAAAAGACAGGGATGCACCAGATGTGGTAAATATAAGTTCTTTGGAATGGATGGATTAGAATTCACACAGAATTCTGATTTAAATCACAGCTGCAACAACTAATAAAACTAAAATGGTTAAACTTTCATATCACTAAATTGTTGCCAATTTGGGTTGACCCATGAATTTCTGTTGCTAATTTGGATTGACCCAGTGACCTCTGTTACTAATATGGGTTGTCCGTTCCTATCATTCCTATTAACTAACATGGACAGCTATTACTGCTGACAACACATATAAATCACATTGGCTGACCATAAACTCATACATGTCCAAGTCAGATCATCAATTCAGCATGCAGTTTTTCTGTTATATAGACTCCCTCTGCTTAATTTGGATGGTCAGTTGAAACTACTTTCACTTTAAACTACTTTCACTTTCTCTTGACTAAAAGTATGTGGGATGTTATGTTTCTGGACAATCCAGCTTAACAAGGGACAATTTCATTTTTTTTCTTTTCTGGAAAGCTCATTGCACTGAAATCTTGTTCAGATGCATATTGGATACAATAAACTTGTTTATCCCCTGAAATTTCATAATGAACTATCCCAACCTTTAAATTGGAAGAGTTCAAATGTGTCTTCAGGGGTGAATGAGTTATACTGCACCTGTACAACCTATATATCTGCACTAAATATCCTACAATAAACCATGGCATTCAGTCACTTCTATTCATCACCTACTTATTGACCTCCACATGGATGACCGACTGAATGACCAGCTGTCAGATGAATGACCAGCTGACCTTGTTGAAGTGCGTGGATGTGTATAGCAATGCACTATGTTGCTGCCTCAGGCTGCAGTCTGTCTTTGTGTGTGGCCACTATTTACTCTACTGACCACAGACAGATGACCAATGTAAGGATGACCATGCAGAACAGCAAAGCACAATCATTAATATCAATCAGAATGGGTGTCCATCCCTCAGTTTTGCTAATCCCCACCTGTCAACACCAGCTGAGCAGTGGATATGTCGTAAATTTCCAATTATTGCTGTACTTTGATATATTATTATGTCAAGAGAGAAAAATCCTCAACATCTAGGAACATTTGTGTTTCTTTTTCAAAAAACACCAATACTGTCAACACTTGCACACTACCTACACATCTACACATCAATAATTCTATATCAGCATTCTTTTATAATATAAACAATATTTTATCTACTCTTTCATGCAGACACTGTTCTCCTGAAGAAGATTGCTGTATCAGTATGTGTGATGTCACACATGTACATTAACTGGAATAAAACTTCCCTCTGCAGTTGGACTTTCAACCCTATTCTACAGTTTTATCTATAATACTGGGGTACCTCAACCTATCATCCAAACAGCATGTAAAATGAAAACCTTTCCAAGCCAATTGCCCCAAAGAACAGTTTCCTTTGCCCAAAAGTAATTGTGTCCCTTCAGGAAGTAGACTGATCTATGTTGGATTAATTTCCTAGCATGTTGATATCCATTTATACTGATGGACAAACTGGAAGAATCGTTGTAAAGGGTCTGGCTGATAACTCACATAGAGCACACTTTTAATATAGGACCTCTCATGTGGTAGCTAGGCCAACACACAACTGTGTTTCAACAACTTTAGATATAGTACAAAAATATCATAATGTTAGATATAGTCCTAAATCTACAATGATATTAATTCAAGACAGAAAAATGAAATGCTCCCCACTATAAAGACAGATAAGGCGTAATGAATTGTAATGGAATTCATGACAGGACCCAACTGTCTGATGTAAAATCCTGCCACATCACCGTGGTATTTCCGTGGAAACATTTGGGATGCTATAGCTAATATTGCTGGGTTTATAAGAACATAACAAAGGGATAAACAATACAGATAGGTGTCATCAAAAAGGAATAACGACAGAATTATTTCTCACACAGGAATTAAGTACCACCCATTGTCTTACACAGATCCAGAAACCACACATAAATGGTAACCAGTTGTCAACAGCTGCGGCCAATAACAGCGCGCTACACTGAGTAACACCCACTGGAGGTGAGCGGGGTGCTAACTGTTCTCCATCAACCACCGACATAATGCAATTACTGGTACGATCTCAAGGTCTGTCAACTAGATCACTACTGCTCAAACCCAAACACTGAACAGTGGGTTAAAGAAAGATTGTGAATGGTCCAACCAATCTGTTAAATACATTTACGTAAATACACTGTACAAGAATTGTAAAAAGAATTATTTAGACCTGTTTATCGACAACATGCAGCCACACTGCACAAGCAAGACAATTAAGGGATTCTTTTTTGTCAATATATGATTAGATCCTGAAGCCTCAAGCTACAGACAGAATGTGTACATATATTCAACATGGCAAAACCAGCTGAATGGAAATGTACTTACAAAGCTACATCTGGAAGCAATGCAAAACTTGTATTTTTGTTTGTGACCGTGAAATGACCCCCGGCCCACTTAACAACTGTTGGTGTGTTATGCTTTGTTAATCATTCAAGTTATGTAACCCATCATGTCACAAGCTCGTAAATTTCTCTGACAGTGTCAGGTTGTATGCATAAAACATCTGATGAATTCGCAGCGCTTTGGTAGTCTCGCACAAGATCATTCCGTCTCATTTTGAAACAGATTGGAGCCCATAGCCGATATGTTAAAATAAAAAAAATAAAAAATCCATCATTATATGAGCTACATGTGATCTGAAGGTTTTTTTATCGTCGAGCCAGCCTCACAGAATTCCATTTGCTTCAGTACTCCGTGCATCTCGACCAAGTTGGTCTGTAGCATAATCCACATGTAATGAACTACAATCAATGTGAAGTTTTTTATCATTGGCTGCGGTGACTTGGGGCATGCGACCTGCAGCCACTGCCAATAATCTTAATGGTACTAGTCGTCTCAAATGTTTCGGGGTTTTGTTGGAGACAACCTGCTTGCACATGTAATGATTAAGGCTCCAATGCTTTATAAAGTGCATGTACCACGAGGGCATTGATCTGGCAAGGGCAAAAGGGGTTATCCGGTGTTGTAGTGAGGGGCATGGCATTTTAAAGGAATGGCACTAGGAGGTTTAGGGGTAAGAGGACCATAGCAAGACATTATGTGTAAAGGGCCAATGGGGCTTGATAGGATAGAGAATTATTTTGATGGGAGGGGGGATGTATACATTTCAGATCCCAGGAAAAAGGTTCGTCTGATGTTCTTTAAATGGAGCTGTATATATATTTACAGATGGGGCTGGAACTAATTTGGGAAAGGTTTGGGCTGGGTCAGATTAAACAGGGAAGGAGTGGGGATCACGGGGAACATGGGAGAAAAAGAGAGATATGAAAAGGGTATGTATTGTTTTTACTATTAAGTTAATTTTAATGTCTCGGTAATAGTGTGTGGAATTTTTTTATTTTAAAAAGTGAAGAAAACATACCTGTTCATCAGACAGTCCCTCCTTTTCCATGGATTGTTCAAGGAGCCGATACCTGGTAGACATAAAAAGGATACATTTTCAATCAAAATTTTTTGTCTTACTTTCATAAAGGTGATTAACAGCATTTACAAATGACAAAAATAAAGCCGTCATCATTCTCCAAAATTTGAAGTAGGCATTGGGTAAATGAAATTTGACTTATCACACATGATTGAAATGACAATTTTCCTTAAAATAAGTGAAATTATCTCATTAAACTTACAAAACAAATATTATTGTCCTTAATGTACAGGGAATTCTTCAGAGAAAAAGACTGGCCAAATGAACTAAGATAATTTGTTGACATAATTGCATAACTAAGAAACTGCAACTAACAATTTCATTAGCATGTTTTTCTTTAATCTGAAATATTAGTTACTTAGTGTTAAATCCTCTGGGTTTGCTTTTGTAGCCATGAATCAAACCTATTCTTTGACAGCAAATTTCAATTTAGAAAGATTTTGTATAGCTTTACATTTACCAATTATATCAATGTACTGTCTGTTTATATTACTTTTCTGTAATTTTGAGGAAGAGTCCCTCAATTAAAATAGAAGACAATGAAATGCTTCTGAATATACATTTGTACATGTATATTTGTACATGTATATTTGTACATGTATATTCATGTATATTTGTACATGTATATTTGTACAGTGTGTGGTGTAGGAACTCCTACAAAAACATGTAAACAGACAGTCAACCAGTACTTCAATTGAAAGAAATTTAATTGACTGTACTTAAATTGAAAGAAATTTAAAGTCTTAATCTGAAAATCTTGATGACAATGATGAACTATGTGTAAATACTCAGGAGACAAGTCATATTGTCCCTGACAAAGTCTTCTATAAATAGCTGTATTATTTATCAAGGGAGTCAAACCTTTAGAATTCTACGCACATGTACTGTCATGTACCTTAAATTACATGGTCAGATTCATGTTTTCGGAGAAACAATAGAACAGGTCGGAACAAAAGCAAATTACTACTGTTTTATCAGACAATAAGAGTCAGGCTTTTTTATTCTACCAAAAAATAGATCTCCCTAACATAGCATTTTATTGTTGTTACTTTAAGTTACTGTGTACTAGAGACATCCCCCCTAAAGAAATCCAATATACCCATTTGAACATCTAGCTGGACTAGAGATAAAATTTAGTGGCAGAACTTCTTTCCAAGACACATATATCCCATTTCACCAACAAGCTGGACTAGAGATATGGTTCAGCGACAGGATTTCTTCCAAGATACATAATTCCATGCCCTAGATGATTCAACTGCTTTTCCACTGGTCTCTAATTTTTCTAAAGACGGGAAGTAAACCTAAACACAGTGAAAACATTGACATACCATGGCCACAACAATAATTTTTCAACAAATGCAGCTAAACATTTTCATATTCATAAATAATTATCTATTCATAATATGGCCCGCCTGTCTCTCAAATTTTCCTTCCAAATTTCTAGTGCTAATGGAAGATTGTTTTTACCAAGAATGTAATTATAGATAGTGACCACTACCTGTTTCATGATTAACAACCATCAATGATGCAACAGTTCTATAATTGAACGGGTTTTAATATGATTCGTTTTTATTGATTTTCAAGATTTCTCTACATAAGATCAGACTTCTGAAGAATTCAGTTGATTAGTGTTGTAAATTGGGTGAAACTGCTATCGTTTACTCGTCATAGTGTGGAAGTGGTGGCCTACACAGATAAACCTCATCTATTTCAAATCACCAACTAGCTAGCAACCAATCAAAATTAAGGACATAAAAAACAGATTTTCCTGAATACCTATAGTAACTAATCAAAACCAGACATAATCTATACAAACCAGAGCCTAGAAACCAGAGCTTGACAAAGTGCAATTATTCAATTTCATGATATACACTTCTGATCAGATTCGAGAACATGCTGTGAAACTAACAAATCAAATAAATGTTAAATAATGCTTGTCCATGGAAATTGATAAGCACAAAGTCAGCTAAGCCAATCAAAACCATTGACACATAGATACAATGAGCACCATTATCAAAGTCTGTCCTCATATGACCCTGGCTGTTGTGTTAAACCCTAAACTCCAAAAAGAAATTATCAGTGTGTATGTAATTCAATTCTGTGCTTCAGGTTGCTATATATTCAAAACAAATGAAATCTACAAACTTTAATCTGTATTTAGTGTAAAATATTATATACAATGTAATTTCCTATGCTGTCGTTTTCGTACAAAGCCAGCTCTTCAGATATCGTTCGGTGAAATGAAGCATGACTATAAAGAACTCATTGGCTTGTAGATTTATGAATAATGACTCTGCAAAACTAAATCTGGAAATAGATTTGCTAACAAGTTGGCCATCATTTGAATGTTTATCAAACGTCAATGCGTATTGACATTTGGGATTTCATAAGAGACAAGACTCGGTGCAAGCCTATTTACAGAAACAGGAAGTGGTCTGGAAAAAACCGAAACCAAATAAAAGATCACGATCGGCAGACAATTGTGTAGTTGAGCAATCTCCGGGGTTTATATATACCTATTGGGTATAGAGACCAGACCTGACACAGAATACCGACAACCGGACGTGTGTTATTTATGGAAACGCACAAATTCTATTAGGTGTATTTGTAAAAGTGTCACCCTGTTGGAAATGTAAAGACATTGTATACAAGTTATTTGCAGTCACATGAAAGGCAATGAAATGATCTGTAAAATTTATGCCTTTATCCATTTTTGCTGATAAACACACCACACAGTTGACTAGAGCCGACTGTAACAGTAACAACCGACTTCTATTGATCAGTATCAACAGCCTTAAATAACATTCTAAACTGTATATAATGTTTACTAAATCCACCAACAAAACAGTAAATTCATTGAACCCTTCAGACCGCTAAGTGTTTGTACTGGGTTCTATTACTGTTTGTATATTGGGTAGTTAGTTATAAAGGTCAACAAAAGGCTGACCGCAATACAGCTGGGTCACTTCTGACCAGCGAGGTTTTCCTTATTGTATAACTAAATGACTTTGTGGTATGGCTTAGTTTTATAAGGTTTAGCATCCTGTTAACTGCTCTGGTCATTTAAGGAGGTGCCTATACACATATATATTTGTATGTATGCTGGAGGTGGTATGTTGGTGAATTTGCCTCCCTGCGACAGAATGGATCTGATGCTGACTTTATATATAGTGCTACCTCACTGAAATACCATGCTTAAAGTACCTAGCATAATATGCCATCCAGGATTTGCAAGGCATAATAACAATGACCATTTTAAGCGACTTTGGTATGTCCTGGCCTATGGACAGAACCTATTGCCTTCCTCAATTGGGCAAAAGTTTCAACCCCGAGGCCAAAAGTGAGGCATTGCACATTGTGGTAGATTCAACCTTGACCGACATAATATAAATTTTGGATTTTAAAATTGATCTTACAAGATATAGCACTAGATTTGAACTTAGCGTACATTTCAGTATTTTATATCACCTTTGAACTACAGTAGGGGATCAAGAACCAAATCTGGCCTTAGCCTATGCTGAAGTATCTACAAACAAATTTGACCTTGACCTATACTAGATGGTCTAACACCAGATTCAACCTCCAGGCTGCCACAAAAACTGATGTCAAATTAACAAACGGCGGAACAAGCTAGCTATATATACCATTGGTACTTACCATGGCAGTAAGATTAATATGATTTAAAAATGTCATAGTGTATAAGAAATATCAATTAAAATTTATATATGTATGATAAATATTGTATCCATGAATAAACAAAAGATTTGAAGACGATACCTATAGCCTCATGCTGACTGTACAGACTGGGACGGGCCACACTGTCTGCCTATATTAACGGTACACTAAAGGTGACACTACACACCAAGGACGACTTATACCTGACGCCTTGACAAAGGGTCCGTCTGAAGGTTGTGCCTCGCTATTGTACACACACGACTGTAATAGACTTCCTTATTAGACCTTACCCACAATCTGTACAATAGTACAAAGTCTTTCAAGAACTTTTGAGTTTTATGTACCTCACAGGTACTGGTATATATATCCAAGCAGCACATTACCGTTTACCTTGATTTCCAATAGGTCTCATCAAAATAACGAGAAAAACATCCATTTAAATTTCTTAGATATTTCTTACATAAATATCATCTTCAATGGCTGTCTAATTTTTACCCATTAAGGAATAAATTTTACTTAAAACATTGCAATACCTTTCAAACAAGTTTATATTTTGAACGAAAGTGTGACTAGCTCTGTCTGGTACTGTACATCTCAAATTTACTTATTATATCATAGTGAAAAAATTGAGCCTTCTGTTTCTGTATTGCAACCCTCAATAAATCTAATAATGCTTTTGGCACTAGTAATTGTGAAAAGATAATAATACAAGTACAAGCTAACAATGCTTTCTGTCACTTCTCTCTGGTATAGAACCTACCAAGTTTCTAAGGAATTTGATAAAAGCATCTGAGTAGTGCGATAAAAGCTAACAATGGTTTCTAACAAGGGATACAATTCAAGCTAACAGTGCTTGTTGGGGGTCTTCGGATTAGGATACAAGCTGACAAGTCTCATATTGAGGCTCTATGGAATAGTATAAAACAAGCTAACAATGCTTTCTGTCACTACTATCCAGTATAAAATATACTGAGTGTGTCCATCCATGCTTACTGCCTGTTACTTTTGGAACAGAATATATATACAATGCTTTCTGTCAACAGCTACTCTGAGAGTCTACAGTATGACTGTCAGCTGTTGATTCAAGCTAACAAATCATTTTGTCACAGCCAGTTGCTGTGGGAGAATAACAATGATCTCCACCGTTACTGTGGCAGCATGATAATTACATCCATTATCCGGGTCAGAAATCTGAAGGAAACAATTGCTGACCCACTCATTAATTTCTGACCGATAATCAGATTTGGCCAAAACCACGGCTGTAGCTGATAAAGGTGTGTTATTACTACGACACCATCAGGTCACCAACTGAATAGG